AATTGAAATGTTCAGTCTCTCGAGAACTTTCATGTTGGTCGGGCTGAATATCAACCTCTTCGGCCGAAGAAAGGAAAAATAAAAATAATGAATAAAAGAGATGACTGTTAGGAGTTTCTATTAGTGCTTTATGCACGCAACGTTTGGAGATATATGTTACTTAAGTGAACTGTCACACGTATTTCAATGTGTCAAAACCAACTTTTTACGTTCTCCCCGTTTCAATTTATTTTCCTCATCTTACATGTGTTTGCTGTTGTCTTGTGTACGTTTTTGTGATAAAATGAAGATAATCATTATCATCCGTTATAATGTATTGAAATACGATACCAATCTTTCTTATTCTCGTAACGTTAGTCATTAGTTCTTAGAACGATGATAATTTTGTTCGGCTAAGAACCGAACGATACAACAATAGATGTTGTCCAAGGGTTTTCCACTCATTGGTTAGGTAGCCTACAGTCAACGGGTTGATAAGCTTTGGAAAATCTTCGGTGCTCACGTAGTATGTGTACGGGTGTCTCCCAAAATGTCCTGTTCCACTTGTCCCACGTATCCCACTTGTCCACGTGTACCACTTGTCCCACTTGCACCCCATATCCCACGTGTGCCATTTGTCCCACGTGTACCTCTTGTACCACATGTCACACTTAACGGATTGTGATGGTAAATTAATTATGATGATAAATTTATTAATCCAATCGAGTTTTATTGTGCTAAAATAGATATTACGTCGTGAGATTATAACGGTTATATCTTAAAAATAACCTGAGTGGCAGCATTGAGCGGATCTGTGTTACAAGTACAGATTTTTCTAATTCGCAAAATGGCAAAAATACGGATTCCTAACGGCGATAACAATTTGCAAGATTGCAAACATACCTATCAAAACTAAATATAATTAGACAGTTTATCTCATGTGTTTATGTCCGCATATTAGATCTGTTTTTTTTTTTTAGAGTAGCAATGTATTTGAAACCCGCCACCACGAGTTACGTTAGACACAATTAAGTTAATTACCATGGATTGAATGTTATACGCCACAGAAGAGTCTCACTAAAAAAGTCGTTTTATTTAACGAGAGCGAATAATCACGGCGACTGTGATCCCGGCGAGGGAAACGAAATAAATATATATAGACAAAATATCTGGTGAGTGAAATATATGATAAACGGGATTCATGTGGACAAAATATTCGGCGAATGAAATACATGTGGATGAAATACATGTGGATGTTTCATCGGCGAAACGAGATATATATGGACAAAATATACGGTTAATCAGATGTATGATATACGACATTCATGTGGGCAAAATATCAGGCGAATGAGGTGGATGTGGACAAAACCCCTTGGGAAATGTATGGAGAGAAAACATTTCGCGAATGAGCTGTTGTTTCATCAAGGAAACGAGATGTATATGCACAAAATATTGGGCGAATGAGATATATGTGGACAAAACCCCTGAACGACATGTATGAAAAGAAAACATTTCACGAATTAGCTGTTGGTGGACAAAACATCTGTTAAATGGCATGTATGATAAATGGGATTCATGTGGACAAAATACATATTGTACATGTGGACAAAACATTTGATGAATAAGATGTAGATGTAAAAGTCATGTGATTCCAAACGCTTTCCGTTAAACTTTTCCCTTATCAAATCTTTCAACCTTTTTATTCTTTCCCCACTATGCATAAAAACTACTGTATTAATTTAATCCTTAGATCTTTGTCTATTGCCCTAGTTGAAAAACCGATTTTGTACAGTTCCAGTATTTTCTAATTGAATGTGTGCATTGTATTATAGTAGGCAGAGCAAATTTGGGAAATCAGTAATGCTACAGCAGATACCTACCCGATTCCTTCTCAAAAGGACAAAGTTACTCGCCAGGGATGAATTTTTTTCCAGTTTGGAAAACGTGCCCCCAATGAATGAGATATTTGTGGACAAATTACGTAATAAATAATACTATCTTTAGCTATAGTAATCAGTCAATGCTCAATTGAAGAAATTCGTTTATTTTTGTTACAAAGACGCATTTGTAAAGCAGACTGATTCCATCAAAAACATGACTTTATGTTCTTAGTAGTGAATGCGACAAAATATATGATCACATCACAATGATTCGTGAAATTGTGATTGTAGTTTTTTTTCAATTGGGCTAGTATCATTAAGGACTTGCAGATGAAAAAAATAAGGGAACTTAACAGTTAATAAAAAGAAATTAGTATAAAATGGTTAAAGCAATTGATGCTTGCAATAAAATAACAAACATCTTTGCAGAAAAAATATAAGGTATTGCAGTTACATATAAAATCGGAGAGAAAAATGCAATAAAATGAAAAAAATATCATAAAATAATATGGTAGTATTCATGTTAGATGGGGCAATAATTTCTTGGTTCGATAGATAATGTCAACACTTGCTCGGGACATTATTAACTTTTACATCTCATGTTAGTCTACAAACTACCTGAATATTCCCTTATTGCTTTAAATTTATAGAAAAAAAATGACGAAAATCGAAAAACATGATAAATATCAAGCGAAGAACTAGGTTGCAAAGCAATTTAAGTAGTTAAAACCAAGGGTGTGCAACCTTTAATACAGGAGGACCAAATAAAGATAACTGAGTAAAACCGCAGGTCGCACTTTCATTCAACAAAGGCATTCTGGTCATAGCAAGCACAATAGTTTTGGTTATTGATGACATGGGTGACAAATTATGACTCGGTTTATCAGTGCCTGAATATAGCCGGGTTGATATCGGATAGGTACCGACATGGGCGCAGCCAAAATTTTCGGTGAAATTAAAAAACAGAGCACCCAAAATGCAATTCACGACGACGTAAGGCGTTTAATAAACTGAAAAGAATGCGTCGTTCACATCGAAATTCCACAGTTACGTGTAGCCCGCCTCTTATGTGCCTGGCGGTTTATGGTGAATATTTTGAAAGTCCTATTTCAAATATCGACCATTAATCCGTAGTCAGCAGTACCCGCATTTGAAAATAGAACAATAGAAATCGTGAAAATTAATTTTGGGGCAAGTGTAACTCGCGGATGTCAGTAGCTTCAAAGTCGTTTATAAGTACAAAAACACGCTATTACTTGGATTTTAATGTTAAACAAGTTGATTTTTAATTGCCATTCAATGATAATTAACATGCGTCGTGATTAGTGGTGGACAAATAGTTTTTTTAGTCGAATTATTCGAATATTTTCAACGAACACAACACCGAATAATGAGTATTGTCATTTCAAACAACCGTATTTGTAACCGCCGCCGAAACGATCGCCGTGACAATTTCATTTTTCGGAATTTACTTGAAGACTAAAAACTTCGCAACAATGCAGAGATTTTTATTTCCTAATTTTGTCATAACCCAAGGCCGCAGTAAATATTTTTGTCACCGCGATCCTTTCGATGGCTTGACATCCCAATTGATGATAATAAACTACCGGTATATTAAAGCACTTTTTATTCACTAGTAAATATTAATTCTCATGCAACGGCGGATATCGCAGTTTGGTTTTAATTTTTGGACAGAATTTTGATTTTACATCGGCGACGATGTCAAAGACAACTATTAAGGAGTGCATTCACAACACAAATTAAATTTATGCTGATATTTTTCTTTTTTGTAGGATTTGTATCGAGGTTTGTAAATTAATAATATAACAATATAATAATAATAATAATTTAAAACTCCGCAAATTGGTAATCTCTCTAATACTCAGTGTTGAGAATTCACGTAACTCAGCTTAGGAATAAAACACTGATACTAAATACTTGAATAAATCGGCAATAATGGCTTTTCTACGTGGTCAAAATAATATTTCTCCCCGTCCCCAATATCTCGGAAAATTTTCATAGAATACAAAATTTACCAGTCGTACTTATCTGGTTTGACAATTCTAAATTTACAAAAACAGTGTTGGCGCGCTTTATTCAAAATTAGAAATTGAAAAATATGATAATCCCTACACGTGGTACAAGTGGGAAACGTGATACAAGTGGGACACGTGGTACAAGTGGGACACGACATTTCGGAGACACCGGTATGTGTACCATGTTAGGGTTAGGCCATAATTTTATTCCGATTTTCCTTATTTTAGTTCTAACGCGAGTTCAGGCACTGTCTGTGTTAGCCGAGTAAATGTACCCCCTACCCATAGGCTTCTGTCCCTGTACACATCTTGATGTAAAGTAGGAGAACAAAATTAGTTACCTCTATATTGGTACACATACTTCTGGAGCGCCAAATCTTTCACATTGGTCTTGTGTAATTGTAATAGTTTTTTGTGTATATCCCTGTGGTCGATCGTATGGCCATGCTTGATCGTGTATAATTTGAATATGACTGCATATGCAATAAAAGTATCAGATTCCAGCACTTACCGACAATATCCGTTTTGATATTCGGGTGCATTCCAGCATGATTGATGGGAGCGATCGTGTATAGTAGAGCACAGTGGGAATTTCGTCAGCAGTTTTTCTGATTTAGATGATTCAGGAGTTTCAGGAGCATTCTTAGCAATTTGTTGAACGTGCTGCGTTAATATTTGTATACAATAACCTGACGCGTTATCGGTTTTCATATAGAAATCTTGACTTCCGTCATATCCAAACGCTATTCCCTCATGTGAATTAGTCATTCCCTACGTCATAGCAAGGACCAACGCCCACGATTACTTCAGGTGAAAGCAGGCAGTGGAATAGATAAATGTCGGGTTAGGTATTCGAAATTGTGCAGCTGCAATGTTGGATTTTGGGCTCGTTCGGCATGGTGTATTCAATTTTTAGTTTTTGAAATTTTGGTTCATAAGAGCTCCATACTAAGCTCCATCCTATACAATGGATGATGTAACTATATGGGATAAATTCTTTGATTAAAAACAAATATTTCATGGCAATCTCAAGTGCATGGTAATAGCAACAATCTCACTTATTCTACTTATCATAATCAGCAATGTAACAATCTTTTTTCTTAGTCATAATTCTATAACCTGATGCCAAATAAAGCTTTAAATGACGGATCAGTGTCACGAGCCAAATTTGGTTCCAAGTATTACGGGTGAGATATCTTGAATTTTTGATGAAATTTATAGCATTTAGTATGTGAGGGCATTCGTAAATATACGCAGTCGTCACAGCTGGCTCGGCGATGGACAGTGTTGCACGCTTGTTGAGTTTTCGTTACAGCATAATAATAGTTATTGGTGTCGGTTTACGACTTACTGCCTGTTTTTCACGACTACCCGATTGCAACAATCTTAATTCTTTGCCAACACGTCATGTTTCTTTCTACATGTGATGAATTTTATAGTCCAAATAGTAAAAATCATAGATACTGGAATAAAATGTTGAGTGTTTCAGAAATATATTAGCAAATAATTTGATATCAGCATAACAAAAAAATCTTTATTGAGACAATAGCTTAGATCACTTGTTTCACCTGAAATAATCAAAGAAACTCAGGTTGGGGGAATAATCTAACCTAAGATAATCAAAATTATTCAATGAACATAAACTAGGAACCATTATTAAATCCTACAAGGTTATTTTGTTACAAATCAATACTTGGGAAATCACTAATGAGCTTCACTTGATCAAATTCGAACCCTATCATAACACAATAAACTTAATTCCAATTATTTATTTGGCACCACAACCACGTCCTGAGTGCAGTATGATGCTGAGCCATATTTTTATATTTACTAAATAGAAATGTGGAAATTTCACTAACTAAAGCCAAGTTTGAAATCCCAATTTTTTTTCTCTACTGCAGAGACAACAACTGACTCCCAGATTCAAGAAGTTCGAGCTGAGCAGATTCATGAAGTTCATGCTGAGAAGGTGGTACAGAATGTAACAAATATCGATGGTAGGTTTGATTTCACAGGATTTTGAGAGAAGAAATATAGGAAAATTGCCAACCGCACAACTGGAAATTGTTTGTTATAAAACACAAACTAAACCACTTTTTAAATCAATGCTTGATATACATTGTAGGAGACTACGAGTATGCTACTTGCCTAATTTTATTGTGATTTATTTATACATATGGTATTAAATTACATCAATTAATGCATTAAAAAATTAATTACATTAATTAAATTACAATGAAATAATTTTATCTCGCTGCTGGTCATACAAATCGGATATGCAGACCCCCAGTCCAACTTTTGTTAGTATTCTATTTTTGACTTTTTTTATTATGATTTAATGTTAGATTCACTCCCTTATAAGTGACACTTCTCTATAACGATCAGTATTTTATCGCTTCTGCCTTCACTCTGAAATGCATTTTTTTACTTTTTTTTCATTATGTTTGTACAATGTGTACTTTCTGCTTGTGATTCATAAACTACTGACAGAATAAAGGAACAGCTATTGTGGTGGACACCAAAGTCTGGGTGTCCTATAAACGCTGCTTTCATTGCATTGGCTTACCAATAATATAGGACTTTGCCATACATTTATTTTTGCTTCTGTCACTGAAGAATTATGTATTCTCAGCTTCTAAGGTTAGTTTAAGGGGTTCATTTAACAAAATAGGTATGAGTAAACCATTTTTACTTCATGCAGTAATGCCAGATTTGAAATCTAACATTTCATTTGCAAATAATTTCTTTCTTACAGAGACAAACATAACTGACTCCCATATTCAAGAAGTTCGAGCTGAGCAGATCCATGAAGTTAATGCTGAGGAGGTGGTGCAGAATGTAACAAACATTGATGGTAGGTTTGATTCTACAGGATTTCCATAATTGAAATAATCCAAATATTACCCTAGCCCAACACTTCCGTTCCGTCATAAAACACAAAGCTTCTATCAATGCTCAGTATACATTGTAGGGCACTATACTACATGACTAATTTTATTGTGATTTTATTGTAGTGTCACTTGGAATAGCCCATCTGTGAATTTACTTTTGGAAAAGCCCTATCCTATGCCATAACCATTTCTGTGCCTAACCAACGAGAAAGGATAATGTTTCATTTAAAACATACAATGTTTCACACCAAACACAGCAACACAAATGACATTAATGTGATGGATTAGGTTGCTTTTCACTGCATAATTTATAGATTCTTCAGCAATTTGTGACAAGCAAACTAATAGATCAGGCTCTATGGTAAGCGTCGACCTAAATTTTGTCATCTTGAATGGATGATATCTGAAAATACTGTTAACTCAGAATAAACGCATAATTTGTAAATGTAACCAAGGTAATCCCCAAGACACACGACAGGATTGATCCCTCAAGTACAGAGAACACATGGCTACTCCACCTTCACAGTTGGTTGGTCATGATCAGTCATCCTTGACTGATAACATCACAGGTCATGCTCAGCCATCTGGGAAAATGCTAGTTGCCAAAAATACAATAAATATACACATAACAAATACTGCCTCACACATATAGGTTGTTGTGAACGGCAAAAAAATTGAACTGTCTTTTCTGACTGCAATGGATATTCTTCCACAACTCTCAACCAAAAAAAAACAAAAAATGCAATGCCTTTTTGATTGAAATCAATCATTAAAGATCAACCAGACTCTTTCCATATTATTGTGAAACTCCTATGCAGTCATCACTCCAGGGGTTTGCAGACCCTAGTTTGGAAAACCTTGGCATAACAGACATGGTTGAGAAAACAACTATAACTAAAGAATTTTTGTGCCTTCTAGTTTGTAGCAATTAATTGACAATTGAAGAAATCTGTTCATTGAATTGAAATAGTAAATTCTTTCACACAAGTACTTGTATAACCCTTGTGTATAGTTGCCCACAAGTCTGTCACACAAAATTTTCCGTTTAATTGAGTGACATATTTGTGTGTATGTGTTCTGGTGGGCAAACCCACCCTCTGTACAAATTGGTTATTACAGACAGCCAGGCTCCCAGGCAGTTATTCAATCATGTAAGTTATATGAACATACCAGCTATTGTAGCATGCACCCAGAGATGAGCTGCCATTAAATGCTGCTTTTAGTGCATCAACTTTTATCAATAATATTCAACTCTCCCATGCATTTTGCTTCTGTCACTGAAGAATTATGTATTCTCAACTCCTAGAGTTAGTTTGAGTGGTTTCATTTAACGATTATCATGTTTGAACCTTATTTTAATACTCAATGAAATCTGGAAATAGCACAATTTTAATTCATGCAATAATGCAAGATTTGAAAATCTAACATTTTCCTCACAAATTATTTCTTTCCTGCAGAGACAAATATAACTGCTTCTCAGATTCAAGAAGTTCGAACTGAGCAGATCCATGAAGTTCATGCTGAGAAGGTGGTGCAGAATGTGACAAATATTGATGGTAGGTTGTATTCCTCAGGATTTCAGGAGTTTAAAAATTTTAGAAATATTATTGATTATTCAGATATGAATGAACTTTTCAATAAATTACGAAGGGAATTTTAATGAATAAATTTGGCTTGGGTAACTACTTCCACAACTGACATAGTACCATACTATAGTGAAAAACCGTCTTCATGATTATCTGCCCTTTATCTTCAATAAGGATAAGTTGTGGGGGATCACTCTGTTTGGCAAGTAGTAGTATTTTATAGAATTACAATGAATTTATCTCTACTAGCTTATGGTTAAAAAGAAAATTCTTTCTCAATGATAATATAGTGAACTTGAATTCAATTTTTTTTTTTCAACACAACATCACCCAGAGTGTAGTACAATAGCGAGTCGCAAAGATTCCGGTTATTCCAATTAAGCAGTAGCTCTTTGTACTTATTTAGAACCTTGGTCACCGCTTAGTCGTATTGTTGCCTTCTAATCTGTATTGCAAACTTTTTTCTTGGTTCTGTGCCATGTTTGTGTGCGTGTGTGTGTGTGTGTTCTGGTTGACAAAACCCCCTCCAAACATTTTTAGTTACAGACTACTACAAGTATGTTCTCATTTGATTAAAAGTAAAGAAACATCTGTGGTGGTTGAACATCAAAAGTGTGTCCATTGAACGATGGATTTCAATGCATCAATGTAACAATGATCTAAGGCAAAGGTCACAAAACCTCAGGCCCGTGGCGTCCTTTCATCTGGCTTGTAATAACTAGAACAATGTTTTGTAAGGTTTTTTTCTTCAAGAGATATTACCCTGGGAATCGACTTTCTTGCTTATTTCGTAATATTGGCCAATCAATCAGATGCAAAAAGTGATAAAAATAAGTCTTTTCGCATCCACTCAGAACAGATTTTCAGTCGTTGTTGTAAAGTGTAAACAATACCTCGTTTTTGTGATTTTGAATGCAATTCGTTAGTTTTTGGTTGTGTTTTGGAAATTTAAGTATGAATCAAATAAGTCAATCATCATTTTGCTTTCTTAGGAGTTGTAGTGCACTTGTAGTAATCCAAAATTATTCTAGGAATAGCTGTGATATAATATGCTTACCGGTAAGTTCTCTATCGGTACGCAACATTTTCTGTGAATGATGGATGCACTCTTGGCACGTGCTTTCGGCAAAACTGTTACTTGTGTGTACGTTTCTTGTCACATTAACTTTTGTACTGCTCACATGTGACTATGCATGAAAACAATGTTTTGCTAACAGCTAACCTAAGGATAAATGTCTAGAAGTCTATTATATTTGTTTTGCTATGATATTCTCAATCTATATTCTGCAATATATAATTTGATATTAAAATCTTCAGAAATTCAAAATTTATATTGTTAAATAAATTGAATGCATTCCCCAACTTTCGTGAATTTATTGTATTGCAAAAATATTTGTCCGGCCCGTTTCAACACAGTTTGAGTCATACCTGGCCCGCCGTCACAAAATTTTGGAGTCCCCGCTCCCCTGAATAAGGCTTTCTTTCTCGTCCAGCACATTTTGTATCTGTAACGGATTTAGTATCATGAGCTTCAAGAATTATGACTTCTCATCCCATAAAGTTAGTTCAAGTGTTTCAGTTAATGAATATTAAATATATTATTTTGATATTTCACATCAAAGTGGCAAGGACACAAGTTTCTACTTTACAGAATAATAATGGATTTGAATGTCTAAAATTTCATTCCCAAATTATTTCTCTCTTACAGAGACAAACATAACTAATTCTCACTTACAAGAAGTTCGAGCTGAGCAGATTCATGAAGTTCATGCAGAGAAAGTCGTGCAGAATGTAATAAACATTGATGGTAGGTTGGATTTCACAGTACTTCCAAAACTGGAAGAATCTAAACAGTACCCACATGTGTTTTTGATTGAAATCAATCCTTAAAGATTGATCAGACTCTCTCCATATAGTTGCGAACCAACCTTTCAATCATCAAGGACCCCCAGGGGTCCATGGACCCTAGTTTGGGAAACCCTGGTCTGACAGACATGGTTGAAAAAACAGCTATAAGAGTTTTAATGCTTTCCAGTTTGTGGTGAGAAATTGACAACCTATAAACCAAAGATTCCTGTTCATCCAATTAAAATAGTAAATTTTTGCATACAAGTACAGTAGAAACTCTATACCTACAATAGGCAAATATCACTACACATGTTTTATAATTTTTCGGCCTTTTGTATGCAGAAAATCTCACATTAGTTGAAGCAATATTTCTATGAAAAGAATTTTCGTAAGTTGAATTTTTTGTATTGAGAGCCTTTTGTAGGTAGAGTTTCTTCTGTACTTGCATAAAACCTTGCTTATAGTTGCCCCTAAGTCTTTCACATGAAATTTTTGTTTTTATTGTGTGACATATTTCTGTGTATGTACATAAGTTGAATGAACATAACAGTTATTGTGGTTTGGTACCCAAAGCTGAGTTTCTATTAAATGCTTGTTTCAAGGCATCAATTTATAATATTAACTAATAATATTAAACATTTTGCTTCTGTCACTGATATGGTATCGTAAGAGTAAAGAATTGTGTATTCTCAACTCCCACCATTTGTTTGAGAGCTTTCTTTCAACCAATACCATGTTGGAACCTTCATATTCAAGCAGTGACTAAAGTTAACCTACTTTTTATGTTTTCATGGTATTTTATTACACTTTAAATGAAACAAAGCATATTACAAATTCTACTTTTAATAATATCAGTGTATCCTGGATAAAAACTTTGCCACTGGTCAGGTGCGTCCCAGGTGGCGCTACTTCCCTAGGCTTCCTCTAGAACAGCATTTTGAGTGGCCCGCGTTGTATTTTTCAGGATTGAATAGAAAAATTGAGTAAAATTATTTTTTGAGTGATGTAGTATATATACAAAGATGTGATACAAACGATTTGTTCATTTCCTGAAATGCGCCCTGCCATCCCTTTCAAAAGAGCCATGAGTGCCATTTTGAATCGAAACCAACTGGGAGGAGATATCGATACATAATGGTGCCATAATTGCTTACACACTTGGTCTTTTACTAGTCTATATGACGTTATCGCAAAACAATCGGAGCCATTCAGTCTGAAAATAAAAGAGGTGTCTGCAAAAATAGCCTGTCAAAACAGACAGACCAAAACTCGTCGTGTTGAAGAGCCTGGGATCTCTATAGCAGAAACTTTAATTGCAAACACAGGGAAATTTTCATTGTATTCATTGGCGCTTCACAAAAGCACTGACCCCAAGGTTACTGCTCAGTTGGCCATCTTCTTGCGGGGAGTTGATGATGAATTTGAAATTACCAAAGAGCTCGCAGCCATTGTCCCTATTTAGGGTACAAGTAGAGGCGTGGATTTGTTTGGATTTGTGATGAAAACGATCAAGCGTCTTGGCTTATCTTTGTTCTTAGCCCATGTTTCATTAAATTTTTCTGGTCATTTTCATACCTCATTGATGGATTTTTGAAGATTACTGTACTTGTTAGTTACCATAAACTAGGCCATTTGTGTCTGGACAATATTTTTATAATATATAGCATTGGCAGGATAAAAGAAGATATAATTAGTATTACCCGGAATTTTGGCTCATTGCGTTATTTAGTTTGTTGGGACGTCACACTATCATGAAGGTAGGAGTCAATTATGATAGGATTTTGGAAAGCAGATAAAACTGCTTAATCATATGACCTACCATGGCCTCTCTTTTGTTTACCACTCCATGACGGCCTGACTGGTATAGAATTAGTTAGCCAATTATTTGTTGCCGGATGCTTGTTCTTGTTGCTTGAATAATATTATTGAAAGGCCCTTTTTTTAAGCCAGGGCGCTCGGAACAGTATTGATATATACCAGATGAGTGGTAAATCCAACGTAGCTTGTATTAAACTCTCACCCATTGCATTTAGACCAACCATCTTCAAGTCTGTCATCACCCACACAGCAAAGGCCGACTGAAGCAGGTGCTCAACCAAATACAGCTGCCGACCCTGTATATAAAGTTGATCCCACACCATCAGGTATATCATAAATATTATTGAATTTTATTCAAAATATTCAGTTGACTTATACTTCTGGTACAGATTTACCGGTATATGTCACAATGCTAATGCTAAGCACATGACAGGGGTCATAAAAATGATCATAAGAAGGAAAAAATTATTACCTGAAATGAACGTACCATATTTCACAGACGATGAGGCACACCAGGGTATTTGACGCAATCGCTATAAGACGCAACGACTTTTTCAAGAGTGTCGGTTACCATATAAAGCTCAACAAATAACATTGTCGTTTCACAGCCATCTTATCACACTACACATTCAAAATGATGTAATTCTGTGTGGTAACTAAGATATTTATAACTCACTATACAGTAAGATAATTGGCAAGCAATGACACTTTTTAAATGCCTTACATCAGGGGTGTGCAAAGTGCGGCTCGCGAGCCAAATGCGGCCCGCAAGGTAAAATTGGGGGGCCCGCGAAGGCAACTGGAGAGCAGTTTAGAAAAAATTATTATTGAAAGTTTTAAAAGCTAAATGAGTTTTGGTTCCAGCCTATCAGTTGATTTTGTCTAAATCTAAACATATTGGCGTATTTTACTGAAAACATCTTAACCAAGATAACTTTCCACATTTGAAAAAAGTCATGGTTCCAAATATGGCACTTTTCGGTAACATATTTTTTTCTAAAATGGGCGTCATATCGAATAGCTAGCACTTCCATTTAGGCAAATTTGGATAAAAGTAGTTGGGAAAAGAATCCAGCAGCAAATTTCTCACTGATTTCGTTTAAATTGGGTGTGACAATATATTTGAATTACAGATCCCTAATGATGACATGAGATCAATAACAAAAAGACACCATTTTGTGCCTGCAACTAATAGAAAGCCTGAGTTAAATGTAGGCCCGCGGTTTCACCAGAGTATTGATATTTGGCCCGCCTGCGAAAAAGGTTGCACACCCCTGCCTTACGTTGTTGTGAATTCTCCGAGAGTGCAACTGTTTCAGTTCCAGTGTTCCTATAGAACAGTGGTTCTCAACTAGTGGTACACATACCACTAGTGGAAATTTTCAAGTGGTACGCGAGCAGCTCTGCATTATTGCAATATTTAGTATAAGTACAAGTTTATTTCGACTCCATAATCAGCATAACAATTAAATGATTGATATAAACAAATAAATAAAAACTAATTATGAAATCAGGAGAGCAAACAAAATCTTATGCCCCATGACATTCAAACATGCGAAACCAAGTCAATGTTATTCAAAGTGCATCAAGCTTAAAGGAAATTTATTTGAATTTTAGCTTGATATCTAGAAAATTTTATTTTGCCGGAACCTCATCTTGCTTGTAAACATATTTCATATTTGTACAGTTGCAGTTTGTTTATAATTAACGAACTTAATCTTCAAGCTCAATCATCATTTTTGGCAGTGTTTTAGGTTAGTTGCAGTAATCAGGCTATGTTCTGCTAATATTCAGTTTCAATTAATTCATATCACACTAAATTGGGATTTCAAAAATTGTTTCTGTTATCCGATTGCAAAAGGTCTTAAAACAGGCGTTAAGAGTCCACCACGATAGGGTAGAGAAAAGATTTTAGCATTCGAAGCCATACATTGTTAAGAGGTCAGAAATTATTAAATGCTGATTGACTTGATCTTTGCCGAATCGACATTATGTTAAACTTAGATTGAGAGACTATGATGAGATGCCTAGTAAGTTTGGTTGCCTCCTGGCCACCTATTTTTTTAGAAAAGAGTGGAACCGTGTCAGTCATGTATTTAATGGAGGTGAAAACAATTCGTGTGTGTCCAAATGAAGTGATGATCTTGGTGAAAACAGAACACTATGATATTCACATAAAGGCAAGAATATTCAGAAATTCAAGTCAATGCTTGGAAGAAACTCTTGGCAATTTATGCCTGGATGCAAATGGAACTACATGATCAGACTTCTATCATAGCAAACTCTCTTTATCTAACTATCTGGCTGATTCTTCATTCATTAGTTATCAGAACTTATATGCGGAAAGTTTTTTTTTGAAGAATTTTAGTTGCGTGTGGATTGATATCTAATGAAAGCCTGAGTTGTATAACCCTGTCGCACTACTGATCAAATTTGTGTGTGCTCCCATCCTGAGTGAGTTATTTTGCTCTTTCTTCATGAGTGCATGCTTGTTTAAAACATCGCATCTTGTTTAAAACAATAGTAAAAGTGCCGTGGATATTACTCTATCAAGCTTCTACAATTTAGCAAACAAATGAAATACATCAGATAATGATAACAACACCAATATGATTGAATTAATCAGATCCGTTTTTTTTTCAAGCTATAACACTGGCCAACAAAAAAAAAATTTTCCAATGGTGCCTAAGATGTTTTAAACGTTTTTAGCAAATTTGAGGGCGCTGATTCCAGAAATGCTGTTACTTTTTCTCTATCAGGTATCTTTTTCTTCTGTGGTATATCCCGCTCTGCAGGATGCCGATAGCTACAATAAAGATAGGCAGATTGAAGAAACATGTTGTAATTTTATTGAACATATTCATGGAATCTCATCAAAATATTCACAATTAAAGATGGAAGTTGTAATAAATGCTAATTAATAGATGTCATCAGCTATAAGTTGACGTTTCACTGATTTTCTAGAATGGAAGGCCTCGGCATCATCGGGCTGCAACAGTAGTCTGCAAGCATGGTGGAATCCCAACGACCTTGATAGCGAACTTTTATGTCGCTGATATCTTGATGGAAGCGCTCCCCTTGCTCATCGCTCACATCACTTAGATTTTCTGGAAAACGGGCTGTGCAAAAAATGTAACTTGATGCTCATATTTGCACCCGGAGTTGGCGGAGACTTGTAAGTAGTGTTTCAACAAGCTCTTTGTAGTTGGGCGCCTTTGTTTTTCCCAAAAAGAATTTTAACACATTTGTAAATGCCGTCCAAGCACTTAATTCTGTTGGATTCTCAAAATTACAGAAAGTTGCGTCATTCATTAACTTTCGAATCTGGGGTCCATCAAAAATTCCAGCTCCTAATTTTTCTGTGGTCAGACCTGGAAATTTCCTGCAAATATATTTGAAACAGTCGCCATCTTTCTCAAGAGCCTTCACAAACTGTTTCATGATGCCAAGCTTTATGTGAAGAGGAGGAAATACAATTTTTGAACAGTCGACCAAAGAAGGAGCCAAAACATTGAGAGAACCAGGAATCAACTCACTGCGCACAGGCCATTTTTTTTTTATCCCTGCTCTGTTCCTGCCCTGCTGTCCCACAAACACAAGAAGCAAGAAAATTTTGTGTAGCCACCTTGTAGCCCAAGGAGAAATCCAACCATTTTCAAATCGACACATATAATCCATTGGTGCTGTCTGTATGGAATTTTTACAGTGCAAATTTGATTTCATCATATTTTTCTTTGAGGGTTGTTAAATGACCTAGAGGAACTGATCCAAATAAGTTTCCATTGTGAAGAAGAACACATTTTAACCTTCTTTTGGAACTGTCTATAAAAAGGCCCCAATCTTGAGGATCATACTGTTGTACACCAAGCTTTCGCAGCAGGCCGGCAACGTTGTTGCAATATACTACAGCAGGGATGGCGAACCTTTTTCAATGAATGGGTCAAAAATTGTATTTTTATCGCAGAACAGAAGAGAGTGGGTCACAGATATTTAATCAATGTTTGTATCTATAAGAAACTTCTGAAATCTTACAAGCTTCTGTTGGTGTTGGTGTAGTTTTGTGCTTTACTTATGCAGCACTTCTTTCAGAGATTCTTTATCGCACTCGATTTTATGAAATTAGAGTACGAAAACATGCATATGAATTACCAAAAACGTTTAGGATGATGCAGCAAATTATTTTACATTTTACGGTTCCAAAGAGTTTGGAGGGAATTCCACTCTGATAGTGTTCTATTTTTTTATCAGTCTTCAGATGCACTCCCGAAAGAGACAAGTCGTTGCGAGAAATGAACAGATCAATTGCATTGTTATGTCATAAACAATGTCAGAGCCAATAGCTGAATAACGAACGCTACACAGCGATGCAGACATGCATCCAACATTTGGGGGTTTGAAAATTACCATACCGACCCAGAAATTAACAATTTTAATATGATATCTGAAACAGTGCCCTCACTACTATCACTGGACTAAACGGAGGTTAAGTCTTCTTCACAGCCAGGCAATTCCAATTCAGGCAAGCCTTCAAACACTGGAACAGGAATTTCATTGCAGTGTGGAATAGGCCTAATGGCATACTCAAGGTTTGGATAAACCAATGATTTCCTGTTCTTCCTATTGATTCCCTTAGTGTTTACTGCACAAAAGTAGCAGTCATCAAAATGACTTTCCGGTTCCCCTAGACCAGCGTTTCCCAAACTTTTTCGGCCACGGAACACTTCCACTTTTTATCTCGCCTCGCAGAACACCAAAAAATAAAAGGGTAAAATTGATAAAGAAAAAGTTGTCAAATGCGGGCAAAAACTAACAGAATTGTGTTAAAATACTTTAATATGATTGAATATTTTACATGTTACATTTATTATTAATGTTTTATTGTTTCTTAATTTAAATGGTGTGTATATGAATTAATAAATTCATTTTACCATTCTATGTCGTTTACTCTCCATTACGTAGTGTTTGCCTCTAATGTTACGTCTAATGGAGATAGAAGTACTTGCTGCAATTTCACTTGCTGCAATTTCGCTGCATTTATCTACTTAATAAAGTTTAGCGAAAATGAGTAATTTTTCAGATAAAACCAGGCAAAGATGGAGGAAAAAGAGTTGACCCTTTGCCTTTATACTTTCGGTCTACTCGTTTGCTCATAGCAAAACCAAAATGATAGCTGTAAACTTGATAATGAACTTAACAGTCAAAAAGCTAGGCCGACAGTTATCGAAAATGCCACTATCCTACTCCAGTTAGTACGATTTAAGCCGATGGTGACGCGATATTGAACGATCAGTTGGGCGACAACTTCACGTTCATGGATCAGGGCTTCTCAAACTTTTGAGCTCGTGATCCCTTTTAATATATATATATATATATATTAAAAATGTCGCGACCCTTGTCATCGATAATAATGGTAAACAGTTGGAAATATGCGATTTTGATGTTTCGTAAAATTGGTGTTCTCTTTGCGGCCCATAAAATTCGTTTAGCAGCCCCTAGTTTGGGAAGCCCTGCCATAGATATCCATGGCGACTATTTAAGACGACTTTTTGATTCCTTTTCCACGGACACTTCGAAGTTTGGGAAACGCTGCCCTAGAGTGATGTAGAGTGCCCCATGGAGTGACTTTCCATCTTTTTTTGTCCATTGTCGAAGATGTTCAACACATTGCTTACATACAATATGGGGTGCTCATACCTTATCTTGATCACCCAGCATTACTTTGAAGTAAGCAAAATAAGCACACTCCACAAATTTACTGAATCCTTTCCTGTTGAATTGCAATGTATATTCTCCGCACATATAGCAAAATGCATTTAGATTGTTTAAACAATGCTGACTAAGAGAAGATGTAGCCATGCTTAATTTTTGCTCAAAAAATCTGCAACTCAAGCAAAACAACGCAGCTTATTCATTTCCTGTCTGACTTAACAAAATATGCCGCAATCGGCAGGCTTCTTTGCTACTGAGTGTCCGCTTCTTATAAACTACATACCTCTTTATATGGCAAATTTGACTTTTAATATAAGGTGTGTGATGTCATAATCGTTTGGCAGACATCACAATAAAAACCTACACTTGTAATTATAACACTAAAATGCATATAGAAATACCCCTAATTTTAAGGTAAAAAAGGTATAAAATAGCAAATATTTCAACAATTTTACCTGATGAAAAAAACTAGTATGATTTTTGGACTCAGCACCCCAAAATTAATCTACATCAACTTAGAAACCTTTGGAACCAAAAAATGTGTTGGCCAGTGTAATAATTGTAAATATGAAAATTTGATGTTTTCTAATTAATATGCTATTATCAGTTTATATAAAGATGTAAAAATCATTTTTTTCATTTCTCTTTAGGGATTCTCGGTAAAGTCTCTCGCAAAATTCATAAAGGTAAGTGTTAGCATACATTCACATTTGCATTGATATAATATTCTACATCTGTTTCCAAGTTATATACCTTTGAAATGATAAAGTCTCGAAATGAAGGTCTGTTTGTACCAAACTTATTGTAACTACATTCAAATCTGATAATAAGGGAGCGATACCTATTTGGCCAGAGTTGTATGCACAAACACACTTCCTCAGATAATAAAGACACTTTTATTAGAACAATTGATTGAAATGGAAAATTCGCAATATTACATACCATTGGATGATCTACACTGCTACAATATGTAGTTATTCAATCTACATCTATCCAGAAATTTATTGCTACCATAAATAATGAGCAATGAAAATCATAAAATCTTCAGGTCGGCGTGTGAGAAAGTTCATTGATTATTTCAACAAGAGGTCATGGAAAGAAACTGAAGTCAAAGTTGCAGAAAATTACAAAAAGCTCAATGAGCCTGATTTCGAGGTTCATCCTAAATTAAAGAAAGTTTCATACTTCTATGAGGGCCAAATGGCAGCAGAGTACAAGAAAGAAAAAGAATTTGCTGTAACAGAGCGATCTGAAGAAATTGGGGAGGTGACAACTATGAACGAATTGGTTCAACAGCTCAGTAATGGAAGCTGTAAGTACATTGCAATTACGGGGCAGGCTGGGAGTGGCAAAACGACAATTATGAAACGAATGTCTCGAAGAGTTGTTGTTGCTAATGACTTGGTGAAGGAAGCTAGGAAAGCAAAAGGAACATTCAGCAAAGAAAAATGTAAATTTAAATTTGTTCATCACTTCGGTTTCAAAGATATGCCTGTTTCCTATGCTGCAAGACCAGAAGAAGCATTAAGCCCTTGTGATTTGCTTTTTGGAAAAATTGCACATGGGTTCACAAAGCTAGGGTTAGAAGATGGATACGAATGGCTTATTGAGCATGATTCTGAGTGTATTTTCTTCTTCGATGGTTTAGATCAGGCAATGTGGGATCTTCATGGAAACCATAACAAGATGAATTACTTTGACAAGTCAAGTACAACAACAATTATATACAATATTTTAACAGGAAATCTTTTCCCTGGTGCAAAAATTGTGATTTCATCACATGAACACAAAATAGCTTCCTTGCCTTCAGAATTACGGCCTTCATTCATAACTGCCCTCACTGGTCTAGATCAAGAGGACACCAAAAAGTTATTCATTGCAGTTTTGGGTGAGAAAGGAGAAGAATCCTGGAATAAGTTGACTGTTCAATCACCATCGCTCATCCAGTTTTCGAGCATACCATTATTCTTGTTTTTTATTGCAATAGTTCACAAGTTCAACCCTGCAAATTCACCCGATGCGATGACAGATGTGATGATACAAATACTCCATATTTTTATGCGGTCCGATCACGCTCAGAAACGAACAAACATGAGGCAGGATATTTGCAAGTTAATGGAAATGTCATTTAAAGGCACAAAAGAAAAGAGAGTAATTTTTACTATTGATGATTTTGAAAGGGTAGGCCTTCATTCAGATGAGGTTCGTGATCTTATCTTAAAAGTGCCTGGAAATAACATGCTAAGCCAACATCTCATGGAAGGCGACAATTTGATGTTCTTCAGTCACCAAATCCTTCAAGAAATTTTGTCCAGTTTATACATCGCCAACATGGATCTTGCCACTTTCCAATCATTTATCATTGAAGAGATTCACGATGATCACTGGTCAGTTGTTCTGCGTTTCTTGTGTGGAATTATTTTTAATCAAGATATCAAAATTGAATTCCTTAAAGATCTTACGACTAGTAAGTATATGCCCAAGTAGAGCTACAACATCATACAATTGAATGTTAATTGAATTTACTGATTTTTTAACAGTGGTCAATCGAAAAGAGAAAAAAGCAATACTTAGAGAAAACCTCAAGGCTAAGATAAGCCAATGTACGCAAGCCTATCAAAAGTTGGAGTTGTTCGGTGCCTTGTATGAGGCCAATGATGCCGAACTCATCCAGTCGCATGTGCAAAAAATCAACTTCGAAAATGAGTCTTTCACTACTGCAGGAATGTATGCAATGTCGTCGGTTATGCGACGTTGTGGTCACCTTGAGCAGTTTCGTCTGGTTAAATGTGGCCTCAATGCAAAGTTGATGAAATGCTTGGAGATAAATTTGAAAGGGTCTGAATTGAAGGCAAGAGCACTGCAGTCTTTTCTAATGTTGCTACAAAATTAAAATGTGACCCTTTTACATTGCAAATATAAGTTTTCCAAGCATTAAGGTAGGATTTAAGTTTTTATCCAGCATAATGGAAAGCCGATAAAACCGCTTCATCATATGGCAAACCACAGCTTCTTGTCCGGTTACTAGTCCAAGTCAGATATGGGATTAGTTAGCCAGTTATTTTTGTCTTCAGATCCCTGGACACAATGGGGGAGGCAGCAGTGGTGACATATCCACCAAACCTCTCACACATGATTATCTCCCACTGGATTCATACCTGCAAACCCACGCAGACGTGCTGTGTCAAGTGTATTCTTACAGCTTGGAATAATGCTCCACACCGTCAAGCCTTGTATATTTGTTTTTAATTATTTAATTAATGATATGCTTACCCTTAGCATTAGGAAACTCTGCTTTCAAATGTTTTCTTGTTCTACGGCAAACATTTCATGTTGGTCATGAATTACTACCACCACTTCTAATTTTATGCTGAGTCCACCATTTCATCTATACAGGTATCGAAGTTGGATATCAGTGGGAATCAAATGAATGAAGAAGCTTTCAATAATCTTGGTTCTGCTTTGGCAAGTATTGATGGAAGAGAATTGGAACTCAAACTTCAAATGTGCGGACTCACCAAAGAGAAAATCGATGCACTGGGAAGAATTACAGGATTAAAGGTTGGTCTGTCACAAGATATCATGCTTGGTTGAAAAACGACTATTTTTAAGTTTTGGAAGTATAAACCTGAAGCTATGTAACCAATAAAGTTAGGTTGATGCTTGAAGCACTATTTATGTGAAGCATTCAAAAAATTTGGTTATCTAGTTCCACCCGGCAAAATGTGATGATATGATTTTAAGTTTTTTGAAATTTGCAATAGCCTTTTTTCTAGTCATTTTGAAGCTTGTAGTTTTTTTTTGGTTGGTTTTACAATGTAATACTCAAAGATTGATATTGAACGTTGATCTATCTAACCTAGTGGTTCCTGAAAGAGACCCAAGAATATGCTCAAATATAAATAGCAAGTAATGCTTATATAGCTTCAAAATGGAACATCTAATACAAAATAAATCATTTTTATGTGACATTACGTAGTCATTAATTACTTCGAAGTATAAAACATGTAAAGTTGAACTGTTGTTGAACTTTTCATAAAGTTAGCAACAATCGTCACTACTAAGCAGCAAGTTATTTATTATATGTACAGCCTCGTAAATCAGAGCTCAATTTATTAATTGTAACTTCGTAATCTTAAGATAGATGCTGCCAAGTTTGGGTCACAACCCATACATTGGGAAACACTTGATCATCCAACCTACCTAATTCATATTCTGAACTTTTTACTTGAATATTAATTATTTTACGTTTGCCTCGTCATGTGTAATTTTCTTTTGTCGTGTCATTTTTCTAAATCACACAGATTCACACTCTTGATGTTCGAAACAACTCCCAGATTACATCGGATTTATTTCTTGCAATCGCTAAAGTTGCAACTCAGAGTGAAGTCAAGAATCTTCTGACAGATTCATGCAAAGAGTTACATCTAACTACAAAGCAGCTGAAGGAACTAAACAAATGGAAAACTTGTGGAAAGGTTTAAAATTTTAGAATCTGAATTTATATTTTTGATTTTTTATCAAAGTGAAATTCTATGAGTCAAAGATTTATAACATACAAGTAACATGTGGATAAATGGCTACTTGACTTGTAAAAACAGTAAAACATACCTTGGTGGTGGAACATAACTCATTCGGGATTGGTGTCTTCCTGACTAGTTTTATATTTTAAAATCCTTACATCTTTTTCAGACAGGGAGAGACAATTATTTTTTAATTTATAGAAAATTTTGCCTGTTTAATAGTTTAAATGTTATAAGAAATTTAATTGACATTGAACAAAACATTTGGAAGTTTGAATATTGCCAATATACTAAATTTTATTATTATCTATATTATAATTGAATTATTATGTGGTAGAAATAGGGTCGATTTTGACTCGAGATTTTGAAATAGCCTTTAATTTGCAATAGCCTTTTTTCTAGTCATTTTGAAGCTTGTAGTTTTCTTTTGGTTGGTTTTACAATGTAATACTCAAAGATTGATATTGAACGTTGATCTATCTAACCTAGTGGTTCCTGAAAGAGACCCAAGAATATGCTCAAATATAAATAGCAAGTAATGCTTATATAGCTTCAAAATGGAATATCTAATACAAAATAAATCATTTTTGTGTGACATTACGTAGTCATTAATTACTTCGAAGTATAAAACATGTAAAGTTGAACTGTTGTTGAACTTTTCATAAAGTTAGCAACAATCGTCACTGCTAAGCAGCAAGTTATTTATTATATGTACAGCCTCGTAAATCAGAGCTCAATTAATTAATTGTAACTTCGTAATCTTAAGATAGATGCTGCCAAGTTTGGGTCACAACCCATACATTGGGAAACACTTGATCATCCAACCTACCTAATTCATATTCTGAACTTTTTACTTGAATATTAATTATTTTACGTTTGCCTCGTCATGTGTAATTTTCTTTTGTCGTGTCATTTTTCTAAATCACACAGATTCACACTCTTGATGTTCGAAACAACTCCCAGATTACATCGGATTTATTTCTTGCAATCGCTAAAGTTGCAACTCAGAGTGAAGTCAAGAATCTTCTGACAGATTCATGCAAAGAGTTACATCTAACTACAAAGCAGCTGAAGGAACTAAACAAATGGAAAACTTGTGGAAAGGTTTAAAATTTTAGAATCTGAATTTATATTCTTGATTTTTTATCAAAGTGAAATTCTATGAGTCAAAGATTTATAACATACAAGTAACATGTGGATAAATGGCTACTTGACTTGTAAAAACAGTAAAACATACCTTGGTGGTGGAACATAACTCATTCGGGATTGGTGTCTTCCTGACTAGTTTTATATTTTAAAATCCTTACATCTTTTTCAGACAGGGAGAGACAATAATTTTTTAATTTATAGAAAATTTTGCCTGTTTAATAGTTTAAATGTTATAAGAAATTTAATTGACATTGAACAAAACATTTGGAAGTTTGAATATTGCCAATATACTAAATTTTATTATTATCTATATTATAATTGAATTATTATGTACCGGTAGTAGAAATAGGGTCGATTTTGACTTGAGATTTTGAAAATGTGAATGAATATGACTGGCACCAAGCACCATTGTGGCCTTTCATCTCTTTCACCTTTTGGTCAGTTTATTTTGTCTATGTTAAACTCTAGAGACTATTTTTTAGATGACAGGCGGGGTTCAGAAATGACATATGCAAAAGGCACTTTTGCTATTCTGCTATAATATCTATCGCTATCTTTCAGTAAATATATTATGCTTGTTTACGACCTTGCTCTGGGAGAAAACATATGACACTTGATAGGAAAAACTTATCACTTAATACAAAATGTGTGTTAGTATAAGTAAAAATAAAATCCTGCAATTGCTTATCTGAAGCCTTGCTCAGATTGAAATTTAAATTTTTATTGATAAATATAGAAACTTTTTCGACCTGCCCATCACCCATGTAAATTCTTAAGCCTCATTTATAGCGCTAATGAACTGTCACATCTTGGTATTAATAAGCCCACATTTTGTATGAGGCCCTTTGAAACTTGAATCTTTAGTCATTACCTGCCGTTCATACATTGTCAAAAATAATTCTCAAACTAAAGAATATTTAACAATGTTTTTACTCTATGTCCTGCATCAAAATTTTACTGTTTTGGGGGTGGGGGTGAGTCAGGAAATAAAAGTGCATTTCTGGTGATTCTTATTTAGAATATCATAATAGGCCTACATTTTATAAGAGCGTTTAATACACCTTATGAACTATTTTTCTGATGTGATTGATAAGGAGGGGCCTTGCATGATTGTGAATTATATACTTGTTAGGTTATAATATAATTCAGTGTCTCAAAACAAATTCTGTTACGTAAAGAATATAATCGTCAATACAGTTTTTTTTTAATATAATTCAATGAAGCAGCGCGGGCCGGACTATATTGTTCCGCAGGTGGATCTGGCTCGCGGGCCGTGGTTTGCCAAGCCCTGGTTAACCTCAAACCCTGACTGTCTGTGTTCTGCATTTAGTCTTTGACAAAATCCTGTCTTATGATCAAGTCTAATATGATTTGGAAACAAGAATCTTGGATTCTGTTTTTTTTTTGCATGAAAACTGTATGATAACACTGTGAAAAAATAGGGCAAATTTACTGTCATTCAATCTACGGTAACCTAAATGTCAACATTTGTCAAACATGAACCTACCATAATTAGAATAGGATTGAAAATCACTTTAAAGTTCAACTATGGGCGACCACTTATAGGACAAAATCTGGATATTTTTTCAACCTTCCCTGCAATCAGAATAGTTTTATAATCTTGAATTTTTTGGTGTATCCCAGCTGATCTTAATTAGCCTGCTCTATAGCAAAACTAATGTGTCCTATCTCAGGATCCCACCAGACATCATATTTTTGGTTCAAGTCTAGCTCTGCTATATAAAAAGAAATGCCCAAAAGTTATGGAAATATATTGCTTGTGTTTCCTGATTATATTATTATTGGAAATTACATAATTGTTTGACCCAAGTTTTCGGTCAGTTTCATTCCCGAACTGGACTTTCTTATTTTTGATTTATTCTTTATGCATACACAGCAAAATCAAACCTACATTTAGACAAAATCTAATCATTCTTGCCAATTAGGCGTTGGTTCGATGTCCCAATTGGGCAAAGAGTGCTCATTTTGGTAGATTCATCTTGCTGTATCTCTTGATAATTCTTTCATTATTTATCCATCTCTCTGGATGAATCTACAAAATGTGGTCGGAGTCGACCATGAAGAGAATCTCACTACTTTCATGTCATTAAACCTGCCATTGATTCATTAACCAGCAATTTATGGGATGTCTGCCTAACCTCTCTGAACAAGGCTTGTACAAGCAAATACAATGTTCATGTGAATTTAAAACATTCTGAATTTTCATATTACTATTGAAAAATTCTGTCAGAAATCGCTGACTGTTAATTTTCAACCAATCCAAATTCTGTAGACATTATTCACTATTGATACGAGGTCAAAGATAACTCTCAAAACAAATAATTTTTAACAATATTTCTACTTACACTGACTGCCTGTTTCCTGCATTTACACTCCAACCTTAGAATCAAGTTTATCATGATTGGTAACTGATCTTATTTATTATCATGATAAATTTCAATCATTCCTTCTAAAATGAGGAGCTTCTTACATTTACATACTTCTACTACACTGGCTTCCTGTTTTCTGCTTTTAGTCTCTGATAAAATCCCACCTCATGATTGGTTTACTGATCCTATTTATTTCAGTTGGATAAACTAGATGTCAGTAACAACAAGGATCTTGGCACTGCTGGTTTTGGCGATGTTGGATTAGTCGTTTTGCAATATCAGGTGAAGGCATTAGAGGCTCGGTATTGCAATCTGACAGCAGAAAGCATGAAAGCATTCAAGGAAAACACTCGAAATGCAACGGTAGGAAGCAAATCATTTGGTTAAATCATAATTGACTTTGTATAAACAGATTCCAAGTTTTTTCATGATGATACAAGGTCCTAGCGGTTAGGGCATTAGACTTAACTGTGCTGGCATTGCAGGTGACATATCCCGAGTTTTGATCCCATGCCCCCACTCGACCCAGAGTGCGTTAAATTGGGTAGACAATGCTAAATCAAAAGATTCTGTTACTTCTAAAATGAGAAGCTCCTTACATTTTGTTTGATGTCAGTCTCTGCTGGGTCAGGGCCTTGTTTGGAGTGGCCGGCGCTAATAAACAATGTGAAAAAAAATATTTCATTGGAAATACTTGGTTACTGCACAGACACCAACGTGGTTGAATGGTTCAAGCCCCATGTCCACCACCTCGCATAGGATCTGCCTCTGTAGGTAAATCTGCAAAATGTGGTCGGAGTCAACCATGATAAAGAAACATCACTACTTTCATTTCAGATACTAATGTGGATGAAGACTTTCTGAATGTATATAAGAAGATTATTGAAAAAAATAACATTCAATATTTACTGACTGCTAATTCCCACCCAGTCCAAACTCATCATTCAAACATGTTCGAGAATGATTCTCAAACCAAATAATATTTGACAATACTTGTCCTGCATTTAGTCTATGACAAAATCTTACTTTATCATCAAGTTCATTATGATTGATTCACAGACCCTATTTATTTCAGTTGGATAAACTTGATGTCAGTGGCAACGAGGATCTTGGCAGCGATGGTTTTGGTGAAGCTGGAAAAGTTGTTTCGCAATGTCAGGTGAAGGTATTGGAAGCTCGGAATTGCAATTTGACAACAGAAGGAATGAAAGCATTCAGAGAAAATACTTGCAATGTGAAGGTATAAAGCAAATCCCATTAGGAAGCAAACTGAAAGTGCATGATTGGTGGTGGTTTATAAATGTATTATATGGAAAATCTGGCATGAACAGAACAGTGCCTTTTTTAAATATTGTGCTTCATCAGTTTTCAGAGTTTTTCACGGCGAAAGCAAAACCAATCGCACATTGAAATTGAGTATTCTTGCCAAAGTGGGCATAGGCGCAATGGCCTCACAGTGACTTAACTATGTTGCAAGTAGGTTACATATCCCATGTAAACCACCACAGACCACACCACAAGAGTAATATATTTTGAGATAATATCTCGGATTCAAACCCCATGACCACAATCTCACACAGGTTGTGATAACTTTGAAAACTTTTGGTTCTGCAAAACATAGTAGCTTTGTATATTTCAATGTTCCAAGGCAGGGGTGCACAAAACGGGGTAAGCATGCCGAAATTTGACACGCCATATGCTCAAACGTGGCACTCGAAAGGTTTTTGTGAAATATTTTTTTATTTATATTATACATTTAAACATCACGTTTATATCAAAATCAGCGTTGTTCAGGAATTTAAATTGTTTCAATCAATTCGGTATTATTCGGTATAATTATTGAAAATTTGTTTGATGTGTGTTTTACGGGAGTTAATTTACAATACCAACGATTAGCGTGGCACGCGACAAGATTTTATTTGAAAAATTTGGCACGAGTCCTCATTTGAGTTGTGCACCCCTGGTCTAAGGAACCTAATTGGGAAAAGAGTGTTCATTTTGGTGGATTCATTTGTGCCTGAAACTAATAGAAAAGGCTATCTTAAATGAAGGTGCGGCTCGCGGCTTCACCCAGGTACTTGTATCTGGCCCTACTGTAATTAAGGTTGCACACCTCTGGCCTAGAAAGTTAGAAAATTAAATAATCTATTTGTGAAATTTTAAAGAATCTGTCTTTTTAGCATTAAAAACAAAATATGCCTATTTAAATTATTTTAACAGATTTTACAGTAATGAAGCCTCAATTTAAAGCTAAGTAATTTATTAAAAAAAAAGCCAAAAAGAAAATTGGCCAATGCCCAACCACCTCTCACAACTAAAAGTGGGTGTGATGATTTCGGGTTTCATTGAATTTTTAGGAGGTTTTTTATATTGATCTAATCTACTTGGGTGACTAGTGATCGTATCTCGTCTGCAACTAAAATTTTGTATTTCACGCTATTTGAAAATGTATTTGTTATGTCATAATACATTTTACAAGAGCGTTAGATTAAAATTATGACATATCATTGGTAAATAGGGGCCTCACAAATGGCATATCACAGGGGCTCTCAACATCTAAAAACGACCCTGACTGCCTGTGTACTGCATTTAGGCTCTGACAAAATCTCACCTTTTGAACAAGTTTATCATGATTGACTCACAGATCTTATTTATTTCAGTTGGATAAACTAGATGTCAGTAATGCCTATAATCTTGGAATTGCTGGTTTTGGTGAAGTTGGAAAAGTCGTTTTACAATGTCAGGTGAAGGCATTAGAGGCTCAATATTGCAATCTGACAGCAGAAGTATTACAATCATTTAGGAAAAACACTCGCAATGGAAAGGTAGGAAGCAAATCATTTGGTTTTGTCTTCTAAGGGAGTAAAATGAAAATGATTTTTGGTGGATAAAAAGAGTATTATATAGAGTCAAGCATGGAGCAAACATAACCCTGACTGACTGTAACTTCTAATAAGTCCTTCCGCTATTGCTCTGGTTCTGTAGGTGAATCCACAAAGTGTGGTTACCTCGCTACTTCCATGTCATGAAACCTGCCATTGAGTCATTAACCAGCAATAGATGGAATGTTTGTCAAACCTCTGTGAACAGGCATGTACAAGCAAATACTTCATTGTAGATTGGCCAACATTGGTTGGGATTGATGACTTTCTGAAGAGTATTGAATAAAACATTCTAAAAATATTGACTGATAATTTTCAACCGATCCAAATTCTGTCAACTTTACCTACTATCCATACATGACCATGAATAATTCTTGAACCAAATAATATTTTAGCCAAATAATATTTAACAATGTTCCTACTTACATTGACTGTCTGCAGTGCCGGGTTTACCATTAGGCAAACTAGGCAATAGCCTTGGGGCTTCCAGCTTAGGGGCTTTAACATTCAATATTCAACTATTAAATTGTTATTTAATTTGTTATAAATTTTAAATTGTAATCTAGAATAAAACCGGTTTAAAATTTCATAAAACTGATATTTATTTAATTTTTTATTCAGTTTAATATTTTTTGTCCCGAATATTTACCAATTTAATATGTTAAATAGATAGAAGGAATTAATTAATTCATCAAATTAAAAAAAAAACTCTGCCCCCTCTCATTAAACAAAAAATATGCTAATTTAATTTTTTGAATAGTTTTTATATTAATAATGTTTTTATTTTTTGAACAAACTAAAAAAAACATTGATACATAGCTATACAATTTTATTTAAGCCACAAATAATCTAAGAATTAGTATATTTCTTGGTATTTCAAATCTTTTTTTCATCGAAGACACGTTTATTTAAAAAAATGGAATGACAAGTTTATTTATCATTAATGTTTTATTCATTGAAGTATTTGGGCAATGCCCCTCCGCCTCTCTCCCAACTAGGAATGGGTGTTATGACTTTGGGTTTCATTACAGCTTTGATGTTCTTAAAGTGTTTTTAAATTGAATCTACACCATCTAATATACTTGGATGATTACCATGGTATCTCACCTGAGACTAAAATTTTGTATTTAGTGCAATATGAAAATTTATTTATGATATCATAATATATTTTATAAGAACGTTAAGTGTACAATATGATGTTATAATACATTATTTATGAGGTCATTGTTAAAAGGCCAAATCCTTAGGTCTCTCAGGATTTTTTAAACATACCGTATATATCTCTGGGGAGAGGAAAGTCGTCAATACAGGGAACAAAGAACACTTTCGGAAACAAAAAATTACCAAATATGCATCATAAGTGATTTAAAAGAACATAATCATCCCGGTTATGAGCATATTTTTTTTACAAGTGACTGAATTTACCAAAGATGCAACATTACCACTGTATAAATTCATCAGATGCATGAAAAGACATAGAATATGTTATTTAACGATAAAGAAGAAATAAATATATAATTATAAATTATAGTTACCCTATAGACAGCATCATTCAGTATCCCCATCACTGGCATGGCACAAGCGAGGTCTTTAACCGACTCCACGTACATCTGATTCGCTATCAGAGCTGCCCTTTGCTTGGCAGAATCAAAGTACAATTGGACAGAAGCAAATTTGCCATGATTGGTTTACTGATCCTATTTATTTTAGTTGGATAAACTAAATGTCAGTGACAACAAGAACCTTGGAATGGATTTTGGTGAAGTTGGAAAAGTTGTTTCACAATGTCAGGTGGGGGTATTACAGGCTAATTATTGCAATCTGACAGCAGAAGGGATAAAAGCATTCAAGGAAAACACTCACAATGCAAAGGTAGGAAACATATCATTTGATTTTGTCTTATTGGAGTAGAAACTGAAAATGCTTTTTCGGTGGATTGAGAAAGCATTATATATAGACAAGGATGGATCAAACATTAAATTCATTGATGTTGAACTTTATCAATGGCCCATACTCGACTTTGTTTAAGCAAACAGATTTAGAGTTTTCTTAATGAACACTGGTATGATCGAACTGTATAGAAAAATTGAAAAAAAAAAATTTACTGTTACTAAACATAAAACTATTTTGTCGTCAAAATATGGTGGAATATCACTTTTAGCAACACTCTAACCGAGAGGTTCTCAAACTTTTGATGTTATGGAGGCTGTAAAGAAGTTGGTTACTATTTTTTAAACATATTTTTTGTATATATGGAAAATAAATAAACAGAATCAAAATACTGAACTTTATCAATACAAGCTAGTAATAAATCTAAATTTCACAGATAAATTGTATTCACACTGCGAATTCGACACTTGACCAACATATTAATAAAATAGTTTTGAAATATGGCAACAAGGCGGTGATTGAAATATTACAATACATATTAAAAACTTATCGATAATGTCATATTTGAACTACCGTCCTGTTGCCACATTTTGACGCTACCGTTGACAAATTTTAATATTGTCATTATTGGTTTTTTGGACAATTACATATTAGTCATGTCAGTATTCTAAAGTATTTTAGGTCAAAAATAGCTCACATTCGCCGCAAACATGTAAGTTTGATACTCTTGAATTCTCCGGTTAATTAACCTGTTCTACAGTAAAATCAATGTATTCTATCTCAGAAGCCCATATCATATCATTGGTAATTGTAATGCTATCCCTGCCATATAGGGACTGCCTTGTTAGCCAATGGAATATACTCCCTGCTCATAGATTTCAGTCCCTTTACTCAACTTGATGTAAAATAGGCAAACAAAATTAGTTATCTCCATACTGGTACACATACTTTTGGAGCGCTATTTAATAATCTTAAGTTCAAATCACATCTACATTCCAAGTATAATTGACTCTTTGCAAATTGTGCACTGGAGACCTTTTTGCCCTTTAAACGCAACAGTTCTATAGATTCATCTTGTTGTTCTGCTGCCTGATAACTCCTCGGGATTGACACGTCTCCTTCTTACTGAAATGACAATTTTTATAGTTAAATTTGGGTGCGTTCAGTTTCAGTTCATATATTCAGGTTTGCGAAACATAAATAGATTACTGATAATCTTCCCAGTGGGTTAGGTTAATGTCAAAATAACGAGAGTTCAAACAATGACTGATTTGCAAATGTAGCTGTTATGTTCGCAAATTCATAAAATCCAAGCAAAACCATTTTTTAATTTCTGTTGTCACTTAGGATATATTACATTTTCATGTTTATCTCGGTCCGATAAGATTGCGCAGTCACATGGGCCTGGGTCTAATCAGATACCACTGACTGTAGACTCTGAACTTTAAAAAAAAAAAATCATCCCCTCCTGTGTGAAAGAAACATCACCACATTTACTTAAAGCTTCAGCAATGGCCTAATCAGTGATGAGGACAAACTTTTCAAAAACCATATTTCAATCCACTTCCATTTCCAGATTAAATTCTTAGATCTGAGTTGGAACAATGTCAGATATGAATGGTTACCTACAGTCAGTGAAATTGTTTATCAATGCGGGGTTGAAACATTGAAGATGTGCAATTGTTCCTTTACTGGAGATCAGTTGAGAATATTCAAAGAATTGATCGCTGATACTGTGGTTGAGTTCATAGATTGAAATACAGTGAATGTGACAATCAGGCATTGAATTAGCCACAATGTTTTGTTTTTTTAATCCTAGTTTGTATAAAGTATTGCCATGATCTTCTTTTAATCAGTGTCTCACATCTTAAAATTGATTTAAAAGGTATTGCTCGATTTTACATCGTGTCTTTATTTTATTGTGTTCTTTTGACTGTTTTTGCTGGACGGGCACATACTTGTACATTTTAAACTTTTTCATTAAGTTATGCCCGTCCTCAGGTTCTCTGCATTTTGTTTGTCCGTTTGTTGTTGTTTTGTTTCTTTCAGAGTGAAAAAATTTGATTGATTGAAGTTGATGAAGTGGCGCAGTAAAATGACAAACTTCAAAGTCACATTCTGCAATATGTATGTTAATACCTTAACAGTGCCAGATACATGGGCTTGGTTGAGAATGCCCAAACCATCCAGATGTGACATGAACCAACCTGTGAAGAGAAGGAGTCTAGTAATTCTTTCACACACGATTGTAGCAGATGATTCAAACTTAAGGAACCTAAAAAGTGAATACATCACGACAACCATTGAGGCTGGTGGAAGTCATAAAGAGTGCATTGGATGAAAGTCTGATGTTTTACTGACTTACTGAACGTAACTTCCAACTCTTCTAGAAACCTTGTAGAAGTTTGTGTCAAATAACATGCATGTATGTTTTCCCTCAAAACATACTTTCGTGCTGTCAAACGAATTTAAAAAATAAACTTCATCTTCAGCGGCCTAAAACTATATAAAACTCTTGGCGACTTTAGTTATTATCACAACATTTTTTTTTTTTAATTTTCGTTTGAAATGATTTTCTGGTTTGAAATGATCGCTTGGTGAGCAGCAATGTTTTAAACATAATATTGAAACCTAGAATTCAATTCCTGGGAATAATTTTATAGAGCACTTTGTCATTTTGACACCAAATATTAAGGCTGTATGGGATGCATTTTTATTATTTTAATACTTTGTGGTTCAAATTAATGCCTGAAAAGAAGAAAGAACAGAGAAATACCGAATAAAAACTACGGTGTCTTTGTTTACTTTATCTTTGTTTGTTTTCGGAGTTGGCCGACTAGGCTAGGATAAACGAAGACCGCGGAGAGTTGGAGGACAGCGCTGACAGCTGGGAGAGAACGTAATATACCAGAGTGACAACACACATGAAATTCAAATTTTTCTTATTTTGTTTTAATTGTTACGTCTCGTCACTGACTTTCGTTAGCAACACATTATACGTACCCACGGGAAACAACGGCCAGTGAGATGGCAGATAATTTATAGCCGCGTGGAAATGAAATACGTTTTAAATGTTTTCGAATAAAAACGTGGACGGCCAAACATGAGAAACGATGCGCCAATTATGAGAAACGATATTCGACGGTCATGATATTCGAGTTAGACATCCCTTCTTCAAGCACTGCATTGAATTATCCTGAAATGAACAAATATCACTACACGCGTTTCCCATGTTTTTGGTTTTCTCCATTTTGTTGTGTAGATAATCTTACGTTTGCCGAAGCAATATTTTTACGAGAAAAATCTTCGTAAGTTGGATATTTTGTATCCAGAGCCTTTTTAGGTAAGTGCCGCCCGCGGCTTCAGCCAGTTACTTGTACCTGGCCCTCCTTTGAAAAAGGTTGCACACCCTTGCTGTAAGTAGTTGGCAACCAATGAGAACATAACATATTGTAAGTTCTGCAGTGTTGGTCATCTATCCTCCAACACATTGCTAATTTCAAGCATAATGACAATATGCTACACATGAATTAATATAGAAATATACTCTAGGCTTAAATATTAGAATTTGTACAAAAGCATAGTGGATATTCGATTGTTGTTGCTTGCTTCAGTTGCCTGTATTGCCAATGAACTATATTACTCTCAGAAAATTTGTAAGAATACAAATAGTACTTTTGTCAATAGACTACTATCGTAATATCATGGTACCAACGACAGAAAGGGCCGAGAACTTCTTGGCTATCTTTTCATGTTGTCAATTCTACAAAATGTACAATTTCAATAAATTTACTGTGTCAGAAATTGTTATTATTTCTATTGACAGCCATAAACTATTCAAGTACTTTGTGTACATATACTGTTGGTTTGTGGCTTTATTCTGATATTTCTATTAAAGCTTATTTCCTATTTTACTGGGTCTTAATAAACTAAAACAAAAATGTGATAGGTCTGATTTTAGAATGTATTCGTAATTCCAGATTCGCAAATATTTTGTTTAGAATGTATTCGGAATAGTTTAGTGTTCGGAAATGGCCATCGCTGGACTCCCACGCTTGTTCCACTAGATCCACATTCGTCCAGATTGATTCATACTTGTCTTGATTGTTTCACACTTGGTCGACTTGTCCCACGTTTGTCTTCTAGATTAAGGTGGTCCAAACTGCGGCCCGCAGAACAATTTTAGCGTACACTACTAAACCATTGGCAGAAGTTTGTATTTCTTAGCGGAACAATTTAGATTTATTTTTAAACTATTACAACTGGGGATAGTCCTTTTCCTAATCCCGATGTCGGGATTGATGCTTGTTAAAATCACGAAATTTCATTGTTGTATCTATAAACGTCAAGACGGTGGCTATATGGGGACTTCCTGTGATCGGTAAAAGGAGAATGAATTATTTTGTGCAGACATGGCCAAACCGATGAGATGATCTCGCGCCAAGTAATTCCTCATTTAAAAAGTCGTTTTGTGCCTTTATTTTAGTCAAAACACTCCTCTATTTTCATGCGTTGGCAATGTTACAGCAGGGACGAAGCGCAGAGCTGACTTACGCCGCGCGATCCAGTTTTTTTTTTATCCGAGACCGAGGCTCCAACTTGGACGGACTTGGTTGTTTTTTGACGGTAGCACTAGGCCTGCTCACGCTACAAGTAATACATTCATCATACAATGAGTGTAGAAAACAGGTGATCGAATTAAACTGAGAGTAAGCGTTTTTCCTTACTCACAAGTTTTCAAGTAATATATGTGACGAAAGAATATATTTTCAAGCGACATTACAAAACCAAACACGAGAAAAGATACCGAAAATGCCACGATATTTTTCGGGAAGCAATTTTGAAATAACTAAAGACGATAAACTTTCATTCTTAAATATATTTAAAGTGAGTAAACTCACGATGTGTTGATCACTTTTGGGTTTTCTTCGACTGCGGCCCGCGAGACCTCCTCAAAAGTTTTTGCGGCCCTTCAACCTCGCAGCCATGGACCACACCCTGGTCTGGATTTTACCGCATTTATAATATTTGTCCTACACGCCTCCTGGTTATTTAAAACCTGTCCTGCTGGAATTAGATTTGGCCTACATATCCCCTTGCCTTGTCCTGTTTGAAGCAAAGTGATCTTGCATATCTCACACTGGCCCTGCTTGTCCCACATTTAACCACCTTTAGTTAAAAGTATATTACTTATGAATATTAACTTTTACATATTCACACCATAAATAAATAAAAAGAGATGTCCTCCAACCAGCGCCGGATTAACCATTAAACAATATAAGCACGTGCTTAGGACACCAAGCAAAGAGGGGCACCACAGAAATTTTAAAGCAGAATTTTATATAGTTTATCGGTGTTTATTAAAATATTACCAATTCACCAGACGACTAAAACTTATCTATTTGCCTATTTTTTGTCTTTAACCTTCTTTATTAAAAATAAACACTGGGACTCATTTATTGGACACGAAATGGGTCTATGAATCGTTTTCTCAATTTGTTGTTGTTTTTCCTTCCTAGTATTCTCCTTGTTGCTGCATTTTTCTTTTTAAAAAAATTTCTTTTCTTTTCAACAATTGGACCAATGACTTATTTCCACTATGTGGCGGTTCCACGGTCGCATTTCAACGATCTAGTGGTTAGCGAAGTCGGGAGTTTTTTGGCAAGGTAGACTAGGGGGGTCCAAACCCTGTCATGCTGATACATTCCACGCGGCTCGCAGATCAATTTTAGCGTATATTTGTATCTAATGGAGGAACGTTTTTAAGTTTTTTTTTGCTATTTCAACTGGGGTTGGGATCCCGAGATTTTTCTGACGCTTTGTGCCTTTATTTCAGTAAAAAAAAACACTCCTCTCTTTTCAAGGGTCGGTCATGTGATAGTAGTGACGAAACGCAGAACCAACTTAACGCCGCGCAATTCATTTTTTTTAGCTAGGCCCCGAAATACCAACTTAGACGGACTTGGTTGGTATTTGACGATGGCACTAAGCTTGCTCACGCTGCAAGTTTTTAAATTACTCAATATAACAATTCGTAATAAAATGAGTGTCGCAAGAAATGTGACATAAGGAAAACACGGTGGAAACGTATTTCTTTGCCCATCACACAGTGTCTGTTTTGACTTCAAGTACCGTAATATCTGTCACGAAAGAAAATAATTTGACGCGACATTAAACGCGAGATGCCCAAAATACAACGGTAATTTTCGGGAATTAACTTTAAAATAACTGAAGGCTTCATTTATCTTCTTCAAAAGAACGCCACCCATGCAACATAATATAAGTCTGATTCGAACGGTAAACTCTCGTTCTTTATTAAATTTGAACCAAGTAAACTGGCGATATTTCGATCACTTTAGGTGTTTCTCCGACTTGCGGCCCGCGAGACCTCCTCAAAAGCTTTTGCGGTCCTTCAATCTAACCTTGAAGCACCCTGGGGTAAACTAATTTCAAACTACAGTTGTGACTTTGTATGCTTTGGTATTTCGATTCACGTTGAGACTGGTGGCATGAATCTTTATTGTCACACACCCTCAGGATTAGAGCTCAATCGATATATATCGGCCGATATTGTGTGTTTACCGATATATCATATATATATATCGGCTATATATAATAGTGAAAAAACTAAAAATGTTCGTAAAAGTTGTTTATTTACTGTTGGTTGTGATTATTTTTAATGGATAATACACTTATGTGGTTTATTGTTTATAATTAAATTACACATGAGGGGGCACCAAAGGGGCTTAATCCGCCCCTGCCTCCAACATAAAACAGTACTTTTTGTCATATACTTTTTTGTACAATATTTGCGTGTCTTTTGTCAGTTTTCAGTTGTGTTTCCAAAATAATTGTTCTAAGCAGCATGCGGTACATGCGAGAGAGCCTAACAATGACATCAAGCGAAATAGGTAAAGTTGTAATAATGACGTTATAAATATCATCTTTCGAGGATTTTGTAATTTACCTATGGTCAAACCGCTTCCCTGGTCGGCTGTTCCTCTCAGTGCTTGCTTTATTTAGTCCTGTTATGGCACGCAGATTTCAAACGACGACAGTCAGCTTCCTGGTTGATATTGGCAAGTGCATATTCGTGTTAGCTTTAGTGCTCGTGTTAGCAATATATAGTTTGGATAACTTCGAAAGCTTTTATCTAGATTTTTCGTAGCAAATAGCACGAGTAGCTTTTCACCTCCCCAACTAGATCTACATTAAGAACTGAACAAACAAAATTTGTAACACTCATTATAATCCAGCAACAACGGTATTGAACCGAATGGATATTTTGCGGTTATCCTGTCCATTCGGTACAAAGGCATGAATATATACAAATATTTCGTGAGCTTTTCGCTTTCATTTCATTGTGCTTTTCCGGAATGGCTTATACAAAACGATTTGATTGGTTGATTGACCCCAAACTTACTCACTGTTACTAGTCTGTTGATATTGCGGGTTTTTCCAAAAAAAAAAAAAGGTTACTTTTTATGTAATTCAATAGTCTTGCTGCACACTAACACAATTATATTTCTGTAACGTTCCGTCTGACCAAGGTCAGAGTTAAAATATGTATGTCTTAAGAAGTTTGACCTTGGTCAGACGAAACGTAACAGAAATATATTTTGTTTAGTGTGCAGCAAGACGATTGAATTACATAAAAAGTAACCTTGTTTTTTTTTTTACTGGGGATAGTTATCTTCACTCTCGCTATATCATCCTCGCATTTTATGCATACGGATCCACCGACGCAAAAGTATAGAAAACAGAAAAGTAGTTGGTCTTGTAAAAACCCAATCGATAGCA